CTCCTAGTAGCGATGCCAGGAGCCCCTAGTAGCGTCCTTTGCTCCTACATCACTGTCATCCCCATGGTTCCATGACGACTGAATTCAAGCATTCGTGAACCTTAATATTTTTGAAAAGCGCGACACTCTTGGGCAATAGCGGCTGGAGTTGCATGTTAACGGTTAACGGCACATCAACGTCCACTCCAAGGGTTTTGGGGACAAAACGTTTGCGTTCGCCTTTTTCCCAACCTATTCGTTGTCCAAGCCTTGGAAGCCACGTTCTCTCAAAGAGCTTATAGGGTCGTATCATGCGTTTGAAAGCTCTGGAGTCGGTCTTGTTCATTTGTGGGTCTTTGGTGAAGAGCCGGAGCGGCTCAGAGCGGCTCAATGCATAGGTTGGAGGGAATTGAGGAGTAGCAAAGAGGCACAAAATGAAGAAGAGGATCCAAGTGGCCTCCGTTTGTTCACTGATGGGCGTGTGTGCATGTAGAATCACACTGGGGGGGGGGCATGGGCTTGAGGCTAGGAGGGAAGTTGATGCCAAGAGAATAGAAAGGAACCAAAACAACAGATGCTTTGCTTCTTTCACCTTAGAGCGGTTCAACAAATTGTTTGCGTTCCTTCTTTCCCTTCTCAGGCAGCGGGCAGACGTAGACAATGTTCGAATATGTTTAGGACGGGGTCGAAAGCGTTTGGTACACAGCCGGTCAGGGATGAAGCAGTGCCAAGTCCCGTGGCTGCGCCTTGGTCACATAGGCCGCCTTAGCTCCTAGTAGCGTCCTTGCTCCTAGTAGCGATGCCCTTTGTTCCTAGTAGCGTCCTTAGCTTTTGATGTTAGTTACTGTTAGTTTCAGTTGTCGGACCAAAACCCTTGCATCTCCAGTCACCGCCTAGGGGAAGTCTTTCAGTGACCTGAGTCCTAAGCAGCGTGCAGCAGCTTTGCGCATCGGCTATCGTGAGTGGCTGTGGTGAGCTGGCAGATTGCAAAAGCGCTTGGGGGCATTTGGATCGCAAGAAACACCTCCAAGAGAACGGGCAAGTGTTGAAACGTCCCACAAAGTCTGGGCCAACGAGACGCAGAAAATGGTGGATGTGAATTGCGACCGGCCTGGCGACGCCATGTGAATAGAAAAGTCGACGATCGGAAACCGAGCTCGAACTCAAGCTGAGCGCAGGTGGGTTCAAAGACCTTGGCGGTGGCCTGGGCAAAGTTTGAAGCCAGACAACATGCCTGGAAAGAAGAGCCTGGGATCCCAGAACCTTGGGCACAGCAACTTAATATCCAAAGGCACCGGCGACACCACTTTAGAGTTTTGCATAGTTGAGCTGAAAAAGGGGATCAAAGACAAGCTGCAAATGGACAAGGCAGAATAGATTGGGACAGGGAACCTTTTCCCGCTTTGTCAGGCAAGAAGCAAGGGAAATCAGGTTACTCGAGAAGGAAGAGGAGTGGGAACAAGTTGAGCCTCTCTGTGTACACCTGATGCTTTTTGTGTTTTGCATTTTGGTGTGTAAGGACGTTACTAGGGGCTCCTGGCCTTACTACTTGGAACAAGGACGCTACTAGGGGCTCTTGCCACAAACGCCTTCCGTTCGCGCAGCATGGGCTCCGCCAATTCGCCACGGGGCGACCCGCCATGGCGAGATGCGGAAGACCAAGTCTCGGAGCCCCGCGAGAAAGGTCCAGAAGTCCAGTAGCCACTTCGACAGAACGAACTCGAACTAATCGTTTATCCATCGTTTATATCTTATTTAAATGTGTTTTTGTCCTATTCCAACTCACCCTTCCTGTGTTCGACTTCATCGGTTGCTTTGAAATGATTGTTTCCTCAAGCAGTCATACGGTGTGGGCCGTCTTTGTGCTGCGGGATGTGCCATAGCTCTTTGGTCATGCATTCCAAGTAGAAACTCATGGAGGAAGTTGACTGGCAAATGTGCTGATGTTATAGTTTATGAACCACTCGTGATTTAACATTTTGGGGCATGCCCGCATTCTCACACTTCTATAATTGAAAGGAAATGCAACACAAGGGCATGGGGCATGCGATGGTATAGCGATATGACTGTCATAGCTATGTACTAATAGGGTTTGCAACGCGCCTCGAGGCTTGCCATCTTTGAAGAGGACCTACGTCGCACCATTGCCACTTGCATGCAGAATGTTGATTGGAATTAGAATGAATTAGAGCTTTCACAAGCGACATGAATGGAAGCAAGCCTTCCGCATGCCAAACAGAATCCTCGGAGTTGGTATGAGTCATCGAAGCGCTCACACTCCTTGACGTTCAGAGTTTGATGGGAAAATTGGCAACTGCCTTGCAAGGCAACTATGCTCTGTGAACATCGCAAAGCACAGCTACTCCTGCAAAGATGTTCGTTTAGGAATTGCGGCTGGGTAAAGAAAACATTTGCCCAAACAAGGCAAACAAGATTCAGACCTTTCGTCGTCCCCGTTAGCGCTTGTCCCTGCAATGCCCAGCTTTCCAGTCCTGCGGAAATCATTATACAGGTCGAGGAGAACTCCTCAAGACTCACTCCAAGGTTTGATAACTTTGTGCAGCGCTGCAAAGAAGTTGTTAAATACTGAGAAGCCGCCACTCAGGTGGAGAAAGCCAAGCCGAGACGGCTACCTTTCATGCATGTGGATCGAGCGGACGACGGCGGACAGATCGCTCAAAAGCTGCCATCTTTGAGAAAGATTATGAATTCGATTGCCAGCCACTTGTCACACAAAGAGTCACGATCATGAATTCAAATGAATTCTGTCTATCTTGGGGGTGCCAGCTTTCACGCCGAGGAATGAAGTTGCCGGAGCCTGGCACTAGTCTCGACCGCAGCCTGCAGAGTGGCAGCCTGCGGTCGAATCCTCTTTTTGGAGGATCTCCTCCTTTTCGAGGAGGGCCCCGACTGCCGATCAAGCATAAGCGCTTTAGCCCAGGCCTGGAATCAGCAGCTTTAAGGTCATTCCAGTTCATTCTCATGTGTTCTCAAGCCAGGGAGCCTCACGAAAGTGAAGCTGCCGCGCTCGCGGCCCTCCTCCGGAAGAAAAGACAAGAAGGGTGGGAAGCGTGCTGCCTGGGGCACGGAGACAGAGCAACCTTGCTGCAGAGAAAGGGTGGGCTGCCATGTGTCGGGCTGTGTCGCCTCTTCGTGATATCATAGTGCACAGATCTGTGCAGTGCACCGTACAGATCTAGAAGCCGTTTTGATCGAAGGAACGCAGTGGGCATACAGCAACATGCAGGCTGAAAACGCCTGTGGTCCACAACGGGGTTTGGGACACGGTCTTTGTTCCTGCATCTTTTTGTGCAAGGTTCGTGGAGTACAATGAAGAGGACTCGAATGACTCCCAAGAGGAGAGCGATGATAAGGCAAAACACTGCACAAAGAAGGCTGCCAGAACAATTCAGCACTTGATTTTGACGATGTTTTTCATGCGAATCTAAATGGTTGTGCCGCGTTGAATCAAATCGCGGGAGGAAGCCTCAGAGCAAAGCTCGGATAGTGATTCCTCGGACTCCAGTTCATCCAGCGTGCCTTGGATACTGCAACCATCGCGAGATGTTCCCGACGGCTGTGGCCAGAGCGGGAACCTGATCTTGAGCTGGTTCCGTTTTCGTCCCCCTGGCTTTGTCAGTGATGTTTGTAGCGCCCCTAAGGGGCCATATAGATCCGTTTTTAAGCTTTGGTCCTTTTGTTTGCGGCTCGTGCGGCGGTGTAAGTTTGGGGTGGGGGGGTTGGGGGGGCAATAACAATCCGTTCACGCGCGACGCCAGGCTAGGTTCTGAGGTGCAGGAAGGAAGAAGAGTCACTATTATTTCATAGTGCAACTTTGATTCTCTCGGAGACCAACCTGGTCTTACCTGAAAGTTCTAAATTGGGAAGTTACCACGGGACATGGTTTAAATCACTGGAATCGGATTTGCCGGATATGGTGTGGTTTCACGGTATTTTGAAGTTCTAGATCTTTCTCGTTGGCAATAACAGTACAGCGAAACATGAATTCCTCCGAAACTTTAGGACTGGGAAAACCCTCCATCCAAAAGTGTTCAAAACATTTCAAAACTGTAGCACAACACATCAATACTTCTGGGAAACGAACCTTCCCAGCAACCCTTACAGCACTTCCACCTTGTCAAGAACAACCTATTCAATCCAATACTATCCAAAACGTGGGAAACTCAGCAGATGCCAACAAAAGACGACTTCAAAACACACCGACGCACGGCCCTTACAGGCACAAGCATGTTTAAGGATTGTCGGATTGACGGTATGGACGGATGCATTTCATTTGCCGTCGAAAGCGTGCTCCGAGGGATCAAGTAGCTTCAGTGGTTCCAGCGATGAGCATGTGGAGCCACCTCCAGAAGCCTTGCGGGGTCGCTCCACGGGGATGACACGACGAATGTCTGCCTTCGATTCTTGGCGAATCAAATTGTCAAAGGATCTCAACCAAATTCGGTTTACATCGTAACCATTGTCCCGCCAAAATCGAGCCGAAACACAATTGAAAATACAAAACTCCTAAACTGCGGTTGATGGTTGATGTTTCTCATGCACTGGGTGGTATGTGCATTTGTGCCAAGGCCATGATGCTACCACTGCTAGATAGCAACAATCAGCCAGTGCGGCGAGCATCAGTTGCAGAGGTGTCGTTTGAGCCCTGCGTAGCGTCGCTTGTGCCGGTCAGGAGTCGAAGTCTCGTGTGCAGGTCTTCTTGAAAGCGATCGAGGCAAACAAAGAAAGCCAAATTGAGGAGCACTTGTTCCTAATAGCTTCTTGTTACTACTAGTAAGGCACCTGTTCCTAGTAGCGTGGCACTTGTTCCCAATGAGAGACTGCAGTTGACCAAATTGGTGGAGCATGTTCCCAGACTTTTTCGGAGGACAACAAGCCAGGAGATGAATTGGACTTTCCCTGGAGCGATGAGGAGTGCCGAGTCTGAGCTGCATGGGGGCCATTGTTCTACCTTCAAGCACCACCAGCTGGCTTGTTCGGCTCTTCCGTAAACGACGGCTCTTTTTTCCAGCGCGATATATAAAGAGAAGGGGAGTGTCACTGAATTTGCGTGCCTCCTTGAACCTGGGCTTTGCAATTCTATCGGGAGTCTAGCCGCTAGCCTGCAGCTGGGAACCAGATCACACAGATTGAGACTTCGTGGAAAGCGATAAACTAAGAAATGGCAAGAAAGAACAAAGCTATGCAAGACATGCCGACATTTGTACTTATGATAATATATTATGAATATGTGTATGTGTATATATATATGCACACATATGATGATTATATATGTTTCATTTTTGTTGGATTTTGTCGGGTTCTGCCAGGCATCACCTTTTGGGATTTTGTGCATCCTTTTGTACAGTTCCTGGTTCCTGAGCTTCCTGTTGCAGTTTTGGAACCCTGTCTGGTTTGTGGCTTGATGAGATCTAATTGGGTTCGGTCCACCGACATGCCGATCTCAAAGAAGGATGGCATGCTGTCGGGGCCTGTGATGCTTCGGAACGAGAACCTTACTTTTGGAATGTTGCGTGTTTGTGGAGTTAATTTTGGCACCTTTTCTTCAAAGATAGGACGTCTCTTTTTGGCTTAAACGCTCGGCGTTTTTCTTCTTGTTGTTGCACCAAGGTTGCTCATTCTGTAGTGGGCTGACATTTTGCTGAGGTTCTCCATTTTATGGTGTCAATATAGTGGCAACCCCAGTTTGTAGTTATATGTAGTTATGAAGTGGGGAGTCCAGATCGATTACAATGTCTACACAGGATTAGTAAACTCACCCCTAATTAGTTTGGCCCGCCTCAGGGCCTCCAATACTGAACGTCAAAAGAACCTTCTGGCCCAAAATAAGAAATGGATGGACGCTCAGTTTGGTCCACCGTTTTAGTGCAATTGTTGTTTCAATACTAACTGCACCCTCCACTTTCGAGACCAATCAGTATCGTTGGACCAATCCCTCATCCTATGGTACCTCAGACCTTGTTGACCTTCCACATGCGGGCTCATAACTCCAATACCTAACCAAACTCCAATAACCCCAAACTCAACTCACTGCTCAATCCTTTTGCTGCTGCTGCCTCATAGTTGGCTCATACATTTGGCATTGCCCACCCGGTGAAACTCATCGGCCCAATTGGTGGATATGTGCAGCAAATGCAACCTCCAATCAGGATCCATGCATGCCCACTCATTTTGCCATTTGGCCAACCAATGTGTACTTATGGGCAGTCTTCCTTCCCAATCTCTTCATGAAGAGATTTAGTCTTGGGGGCTCTCCTTATGAGATTTTAGTTTTGGTGACCTCTCCTGACTGACCCCCAACAATCAAAGTCCATTTGCACTGGTCTGACACTGGTCTGACCCTCCCCAAATAGTAAACCTTTTGAGGGGGGTTACTAATCCGGGGTCGAGATTTGAAGCTTCTGGGGATGTTTGATCATTGTGTTGCGTTTCAACTTTAAGTTGTTTCCATGAATGCTTATATTGCACCCAGTTCTGAGGAAGTGTTTTCATCAAGTTTGACACAGACACGGATGCTGGGCTGGAACATGCCGCATGTTCTTTTCATCAAGTTGCGGAAAAAAGTCACAGAAAGAAGAGACGATGATAAGAGACCTTCCGAGACACCGAGAAAGCTTCCGAGCTGACTTGTGCCTTCTGACAGCGGTTGTTTTGCGCCTCGGGGGAACGAGGGGAAGGTGTTCTTTTTCGAAAAGAGTAAGATTCCTTTGTTTGTGGTTTTCCAGGATGGAGAAGTCGCCACTGAAGAACTCGAGCTCATGCTGCGGTACATGGGATGCCTTTTGGCGACACTTTTTTTCGAGTGCGGTACCTTCGCCGTTTCAGCGCCAAGGCATTCTGCGGAAGGGCGAGGTGGACAAACTCGTTGCCGAGATGTTCAGCTTCGCCACCGTGAGTTGGGAGGACGTTTCTGTCAGAAAGCTAGTAGCAACAAGTGCCACGCTAGTAGTAACAGGTGCCTTACTAGTAATAACAAAAAAACTATTAGAATTAGATTAAACATAAATCTAAATTATTAGCTTCTTGTTACTACTAGTAAGGCACTTGTTACTACTAGCGTGGCACTTGTTTCTATTAGCAAACATTGTTACTACTAGTAAGGCACTTGTTTCTACTAGCGATGCACTTGTTTCTAATAGCAAACATTGTTACCACTAGTAAGGCACTTGTTACTACTAGCGATGCACTTGTTTCCCAATAGCAAACATTGTTACTACTAGTAAGGCACTTGTTACTACTAGCGATGCACTTGTTTCTAATAGCAAACATTGTTACTACTAGTAAGGCACTTGTTACTACTAGCGATGCACTTGTTTCTAATAGCAAACATTGTTACTACTAGTAAGGCACCTGTTACTACTAGTAAGGCACTTGTTCCTAGTAGCTTTTTGTTACTACCAGTAATGCCCTTGTTACTCATAGCTGCTTGCTAGTGTCTCCAACCTAGAAGCTTCTAGCTGAGTAGCAATCGTCGAACCGTAGTCGTAGCCGATCGTACCGCCCAATCGGACTGCAAGGAGTGGATGACATTCTTGGAGAAATATCGAGAAGTGTTCCGCCGAGAAGTGTTCCGCTTGTCGCCATTTTAAACCAGACGGATAGCATCAAAAGGTGTGTGCAAGATTGCGACAGCCATTTAAGCTTTTGCAGAAGCACAATCCATGTATGTTGCTAAAGAGAAATCAATGCACTGAGGCTGATGAGCAGTATTTGCGCGCCGAGTTTGATGCTGCAGACAACGACAAGAATGGGGTTCTGGATGTGGACGAACTGAATGAACTCTTGGGAAAGATGGGCTATGTAATCGATGTGACTCGGGAAGAAGCATGTTTGGGCTGGCAAATAAAGCAGGTTGCCAAGGCTCCCATGCGTGTTTTCAGTTGTTTTCTTTCTTCATGGTACTCACAATGATTCTCCATGGTTAATCAGTCTTATGTCTCCACATGACATGTGATTGTAACAGGGGCCAGTGGATGTTTGTGTCATGTTGCGCGCAAGATGTCATGACGTGCCAGCTGACGCCTTGGCATCCCTATGGGGCTTTCACAGGGAGCTTTCCATCGTATTCGAGCGAGTAGAGTTGAAAATGGAATCTTATAAATGCTTGTGCAGTATCTTGTGCTTATTAATGCTTATTGTATCTATTTGTATGTTCATCAGTAACAAGGGCATCGCTATTAGTAGCTAATATACTACTAGGAACAAGAAGCTATTAGAAACAAGTGCATCGCTACTAGTAACAGGTGCCTTACTAGCAGTAACAAGAAGCTACTAGAAACAAGTGCATCGCTAGTAGGAACCTTGTTGTGTCGTCCGTGTGAAACAAAAGAACACCGATCTGCCGAGTCCCACACGGTGATGGAAGCTATGGATACGATTGGCTGTGGTTCCAAGGGTACGGCACCTTTGGCAGACATGAAACCCAAACAGGACGAAAAGAGGAAACCATTTAAAACGATGTAAAACAATGTAAGACAGAAAAAAAGGACACAAGTTAAAACGTAAAACGTTAAAACACTCTCCAAAAAGCTGTCAAAGTGAGTTGAAGCAATTTCTCAACTCAGGTTGACTTACGACGCTTCGAGAAGCTTCGAGAGCATTTGCGCTGCACGGAAGGCAACATATGGCAACAGCGATTCATATCAACCCTTTGAAGATATCCAGACTGTGTTTTTGTTGGTTGTGCGTGTGTTCGTTGGCTTCACAAGGCCGAAGTCAAAGTGGTAATACGGATGGAAAAGTCGTCGGATCTGCCAGGCCTTGCGAGGGCGGATGTGAGGCAGCTGCGGAGCTTGTATGACCGCATCGCACACACCGCCAAGGCACCGCACATCCGATTCCTCGGCATTTTTCAGACCATTTCCCCTCAGACCTCCCCAAAGATTCGAATTCTTCCGCCACCTTCTCAACTCAGCCCATCTCACTTCCACGTTTTTTCGTCAAGTAATTTATTAGTTGGTATCAGATCTCATGCTAGTGCAATCTAGGTCAGCTTCCCCTAATCCAGATCAGACTTCACCCACGTTGGCAACGTGCGCTCATGGCTTCAAGGGTTGGCGTCCGCGCCAAACTTCCGATAGCATCAAAGCCCGGTATCCAATACATGTGTTCGCAATGGCACGGTCCACATTTTTTGAGACCAGTGTCAACCTATTTGTATTCCTTTCACAGCTTGCCACGACTCTAAACTACTTGGTGAAGCGCCCCAACTTGAATCGTTGGCGAACAAAAACAGTACCGAGACTGCCCGCATTGCAAACACTTTTTGACACTGGGCTCCACTGTCGTGCTGGCAGCAGAACGTGCAAGACCCAGAGGATGAGGCGCAATCAGACATGGGAGCTACACCAATAGCGTTGACAGAGGCCCAGTGAATCATGGGAGATGCCATCTCTACTTGTGATTACGTGTGGCGGACTCCTGCTAAGATGCAGTCGAAGGCCTGTGCAACATGCCATGATTCAGCACAGAGTGTGGACATGCAAACGTATCAATGGAAAGTAAAAGCAAGGAAGCTGCTGAGAAAGGGTGTAGCCCTGACTCACTGGCAACATCCTTAAACTTGAAAATGCCAAGGCTAAAAAAGCTATGCGGTTTGTGTTGGCAAACCTAGACACCCTAGAACCATCTAAAACCATGGATATTTGGATCCGGGAGCCGAAGCCTTCCAATCGATCTCAGGCATCGGGGTAGGCTGAAAAACCCTGGGATGTGAGACATTTTGCTGAGCTCGTGGCGGACCCGAAGTCGTGAAGTCAAGTTTGGTCGCGTAATGAACCAACACGCAATCGTCCGCTTTTCATGACCAAAACAAAGCGAATTTCCGCCGATGTTTTGCATTCAGGAATATATGGGCTTGGTATTGAGATAAGGTGCGAGAGTGCACTGCAGGTACAACACCGCTCCCGCAAGATGGATATTGGCGCAGCCCACAGGAAGGGCATGTGTCAGCGATGTTTCACCGGAAGCGATGCACTTGTTCCTAATAGCTTATTGTTTCTAATAGCAAACATTGTTCCTACTAGTAAGGCAC